AGTAGGAAACTGTTCATTCCAATGACATCATCCTCCCACTTCCTGCATTGTAGTTTATGTGAAATAAGCAAGCGGGAGCAGAAACAAGTCCTGGCCAAGGCGCTCGCTGGCATACTGTGGGCTGCAGGAGCAGCTCAGAAGGCCACCATCTGTCTTGTCACTGAGGACACTTATGTTGCCTCAACTCCTGACTACTCCAGGGACGATTTCACGGAGCGGGTGAGTGCACTCCTGTCTGTCCTGCCAGATACAGGGCCAAAGACGCCTGAGCACACATCTAGACTGGCCATGGAAATGGAGTTGAGCCCCAGGGATACTCCTGGAATGCGTGGCTGGGGCCAAAGGAACCTTTCAAAGAGGCAAGTACACAGGGCTGTAAGTGACCCAGGCACCCACAATGGAGAGAGAGTCTTACTATGAATTTCTCCTTCCAGAATTTACCATGATCAAGAATATCCCATTCCTGAAACCAACATAAACTACATTTCCATAGCTACTGTCTTAAAGATAATTAAATTCTATTAGGAAAAAAAATCTGTTTGTGGTTTTAATGCTTATTGGTTTAAAATGGAGGAATGTAAAAGCCATGACGCCAATAAGCACGCAGTTTTACCATGTATGTTTTGTATAGTTTTATGTAAGATAATGTGTCAAGCTTTCAGCAACGCGATTGTGCAATGAAACAAAAAACTCCTTTGAGGTAATAACAGTGAGTTGGCATCTCTTAGATGTGACTTTCATCTTCTTTTTCATTTTTTATCTTTTATTCCTGATTTATAGCTCCAGCTGTTTGAATTTCTAGAGAAAGAAGCCACTGAGAAATTCATCTATGATCATTTACCATGTGTAAGTGTTTAAGAGTTGAGATAATCCCTTTATGTCCAACTGATCTTACAGGGATCTTCCTTCTTTTATAAAGTGTATTCTTAATGATGCTTGTTAAGAAAGTCAGGTCATTTTGAGGGCTAAGAGAGGCGGAAGCAGAGAAAGAGAAGCCTGTCTCTCCCTCCCCCACAACCTAGAAAGAGGCCTAGATTACAAAAGCTCACTCACAGATGCCCCTTTTTCCTGGGTGAATAAAACTCAGAGAATAATACTTTAGGGAGCCTATACCAGAATTTCTTCTGTGGGGGAAAAAAATGTTAAAGCTGCCTTGCCTCACATAATGAATAAAAAACAAAAATGGTAGAAAATGAAAGCCCTCGTCTTAGCTGCCAAAACAACCATTCACACTGACTGTAAGTAAATGACTTCTGGTCTTCAAAAGGTGGTCCCGTTTTACCTCTTCTATCATTTCCTTCCACACAGTGTCCCCTCCTGCAATGATCCCCCCCCACCCCATCCCAGGTGGTAAGGGGACAAAATAGGGCATTGTGATGGTGGAAAATGGAAGATGCATTACTAAGACTTCTCTGGGAGGGGGGAGAATGAAAGTAGGTTTTCTGAAGAGCCAGAAAGCAAGGCCAATTAGCAGGATAACCATTAAGCCATACAACTGTGGACTTGCACGGAAGGGAGAAATGTAATCCATGAAACTCACTGCTCCATTCCTTTCAAAGTTCTATAGAGGCAGAAAACTTGGGCATGAGTTCTCAGCCACACACTATTGGTCTTGGTTAAACCATGTACCTCGGACCTACCTCCCCTATTATCTCATAGGTCTGTTGTTAACCTGTGTGGTAAGTAGAAGAATGGTCCCCCAAAGATGTTCATTTCCTACTTCCCAGAACTTGTGAATGTGTTAGGTTACGTGATGTGGTGAAGTGAATTACTTAATATGGCCCTTCTAGCAGTAGTCTTTGCAACTCCCACCAAGTGACTGGATGGAACTATGCAAATGAGGTGCTTATGGCCCACCAAGGGGATTGGATAGTTTGCTAATAATGTAAATAAGGTGCATGGCACCCTTGGGGGGGGTACCATGCAAATAAGGTGTATGGAGCCCTAACAAGGGGATAGGTCAGTTCTGCCATCCTGCTAGGCCTAGAAGAGCAATCAATCCCAGAGCAGAGGGGGACCTACTACCACCAAGAAACAAGAGCTAGGAGTAGAGCGTATCCATTGGACCCAGGGTCCCTGTGCTGAGACCTCACAGATCCAGGAGACAGAGAAAGAGAGATCTGTAACACCGGAGACAGAAAGAGACCGTGAGAAGCAGCAGCAGAGAAATGGCAGCAGCAGAGGCAACTGAACCAGAAGACCGGACAGAGACAGTGAGGTGGGCTTCCCAGCTCACGGAGCAAGGTGGTTACAGTGGGTATGTCGACCCATGGAGCAAGAGAGCTGAGCACCTTCAGGCAGGAGGCTTCTTGGTGGAGTGGGGTGCCTCTAGGCACTTGGCTGCAAAGCTAGGCTTACCAACCCACAGAGCGAGAGAGATGAGCACCCTCAGGCCAGATCTTACTGGTGGAATGGGTGTCTCCAGGCACTTACTGGCAGAGCTAAAAGAGCTTTATAACACTTGCCTGAGCAGGGCAGAGACCAAGGGGCCAGAGAGAGGTGTGCCTTCAGGCACGTCTGAGAAGAGGCCGTCCTGACTGAAGAACCGTATACTGAGACGTTTCTGATCCTGAATTGTAACCTGTCACTTCCCTAATGAACCCCATAATCATGAGTATTGATTGTGAGTTCTGTGTGGTCATTGCAATGAATTAACGAACCAGCAGAGAAGTAGAGAGTGCCGTGGAAGGGACAGTTGGTGTCAGAATTGGTAAAAAGGTTGGAGGATGGAAGTATGTCTGACCGCCTCAGAGGAATCAGCCTTGGGCTGTTGATCTTGATTCTCCTTCCTCCTTGTGAAGTTAGACAAAGAGGTCAGATGTCTCCTACACCATTTTTATACATGACAAAGAGGAATTAAGGTTGTAAATTAAGGTTGGAATAGAATTAAGGTTGCCAATTAGACAACTTTAAAATTGGGAGATTATCCTGGATTATCCAGGTAAACCCAATGTAATCAAAGAATCCTTAAATATGGAAGAGGGAGGCAGAAGGGGAGTTCAGAGTCATGTGATATGAGAATAGGAACTACTGATGCTGCTTTTGAATATGGAGGAGGGTAGTCACAAGCCAAGGAATGCAGGTGAACCCTCTAGAAATTGGAAAGGGAAGGATACTGATTTTTTTCCTAGAGCCTCCAGAAGGACATAGCCCTGCTGACATCTTGGACTTCTGACCTCCAGAACTGTGAGATAATAAATTTGTATTGTTTAAGCCATTACACTTATGGTAATTTGTTACAGCAGCAATATGAAACTAACAAAACCTGTATGATAAATTTTAAATACCTGGCATGAAATGGTGGCACAGTGATTAAGAGCTAGGGCTGCTAACCAAAAGGTCAGCAGTTCAAACCCACTAGCCGCTCCTTGGAAACCCTATGGGGCAGTTCTACTCTGTCCTGTAGGATCGCTATGAGTCAGCATTGACTCAACGGCAACAGGTTTTCTGGGTTTGGGCATGAAATGTTAAGCTAGTAGCCTGCTTAGGAACTCTTTGTCATGGATGGGAGATGTTTAATGGGGTTACACAAATATAGAGGATCCATTTAAGAAATGACCCTTCCAGCAAAAAGAGGTAAGCCCCTCCCTCCTTCTCTATCTTCCACCTCTTCAGCTCAAACCTGGAAAAGTCTTATTTAATAGGAAGGACCCCACATCTGCAAGGGATTCATAAGTGTAGCCAGGGATGAGAATCAGTGAATCAGAGCTGAAGTTATACACTGAGGTCTTCTCAGTCAAAAACTAAGCATTGAGCTGGAATAATAATAAAGGCCGTAAGCAGAAGAAGACACCATAGCATACGTGGGTTTGTCCAAAGAGCCACCACCTGTATCAAGGAGATCCAAGCTGGCTGTTACCTTAGCCACCCTGGGGAAGAGTCGGCACCGTCTCCTGACAGAGGGGGAATTGATGGCATATATTTTCCTTTCAAGGGCATTTCCTTACCTGGGGCTGCGCATTGTGATCAGCGCCCCAACCAGATTTTTGACCAAACCCTACTCACTATTAAAACTCCTTAGTCCTGTGTCCCATTCTGTTTGTGCAGAGGTCTCAAGCTGGAGGTCTGAGGGCTATATGTGGTCAGTAGACCTATCATATATAAGCTATAGCGTTAGCCCTGATAGTGTTGTATTTTTAAAAATTTGAATCAGTGAACATAAAAAAAACAAACAAAAATTAGGAAGTTCCACAAAAAAACCCTGGATTTTTGGCTTTTCTCCAAAAAACAGAAAATCTGGCCACCAAAAAACCAAACCAGCTGCCATCGAGTCAATTCCGACTCATAGCAACCCTATAAGTAGAACTGCCCCATAGGGTTTCCAAGGAGTGGCAGGTGGATTCCAACTGCCAATCGAGTTCTTAACCACTGTGCCTCCAGGGCTCCAATATGGCCATACTAGGCCTATGTTCTTGCATGTCCTCAATTAGCTGATATAGGGAGCAGCTACCCCTATTTGACAAATTGCGCAGGCTGAGTAATGGCTCCCTAAAGATGTCCATGTCCTAATCCCTGGAACCCATGGATATGTTACCTGACATGGTAAAAGGGGCTTTACAGATGTGATTAAATTAAGGATCTGAGGCTTTACAGATGTGATTAAATTAAGGATCTTGGGATGGGGAGAGTTTTTTAGATTATCCAGGTGGGCAGGCCAAATGTCATTACCAAGGTCCTTATAAGAAGGAGGCCAAGAATCAGAATCAAAGAAAGAAGGTGACATGATGAGGGAAGGAGGGGGAGAAGACTGTGTGATGTGGGGTCCACCAGCCAAGGAAGGAAGATGACATTTAGAAGCTGGAAAAGGCAAAAAAAAAAGTTGCCGTGAAGTTGACTCTGACTCACTGCAAACAACTCCATGTGTGTCAGAGTAAAATTGTGCTCCATAGGGTTTTTGAAGGCTGATTTTTTTTAGGAGATCACCAGGCCTTTCTCTGAGGCACCTCTGGGTGGACTCAAACCTCCAACCTTTCTGTTGCACTATCCAGGGACTCTGAAAAAGGTTAGGAGACAGATTTCCCCTTAGAGCCTTCAGAAGAAACGCAGGTCTGCCAGCACCTAGATTTTAGCCACTGAGACGTATGCCAGACTTCTAACCTCCAGAACTATAATAAATTCATGTTGTCTTAAGCTACCAAATTTATGGTAGTTTGAACTCTAGACACTATTTATACAAAGCCCCTCTGCTCCTCCTGAATTCGATGGGGCACTGAGGAGGATTACACCGAGCTGGGAGAAGCTGGCTAAGACGAGGCCAGTCTAAAGCAACACTGAGGGCCCGGGTTATGAGGTATGTTGGGAAAAGGGAGAGGAAAGATTCACAGATTAGCCATGACCTGAAGAGATTCACTTGATAGGAGTGAAAGGAAAAAGATAAGTTGAAGACCAAGAGAGTGATGATGACACTGGCA